TGCTTGTTTGCCTTTAAGACCCCAGACGCTATACCTTTTGATAGCCGGACACCAGCTTTCTTCACCACATTTGCTTATGCACCCATTTGTTTTCAGCGATCATATCATGGAGGTAAGCACACAATGATATGATTTTTTTGTTCTTTGACACCATATAACTGATCCCTTCGGCACCTCGTGATCACACAGGCTGATGTGTTCTTCCTTGTGGGCTTTATTGCTTCTAAGCTAGATGGCCGCTTGTTTACCTTCAAGCTTTAAGACCCCCAGACGCTATATCCTTTGATAGGTTTCAACATCTTAAAGAGTTGTGATTTCTGATATTTTTACCCAGAGAAACCTCAAGTCTAATCATGAGAAAATCCAGGCCCACATTGACACACATTCTACACAGTAACTCACCAGAAATCATCAGGAATGGCATGGTCATGAAAGGAGGAGAATCTGAGGAACATTAGAAGAAACCAAGGAGATATGATGACTAAGTGCAGTGTGGAGCCCTGAACTGGATCTTAAAATTTTTAAAAAGGCAGTATGGAAAAAAGTAGTGAAGTTCTAATCGCATCTGTAGTTCAATTCAGCACCTTTTGAATGTTTTCTCCTTTGAAGTCATTAATGGCAGAACTTTCGCATGGAACATACCTTTAGTTGCTTAGGTAGGAAAGCCAAACAAGGTGCTCTTGATTGTCAATAAAAATAATAGCGCAATAATTGATTGTTGGTGTTTATTATGGGCCAGGTAGTGTGCTGAGCACTTTATATGCATGATACTCAGTCTTCCTAAGATTGTTTGATACAGAGATATCCATGATCCCTACTTTGTGAATGAGGAGACTGAAGTTTCTAAATGAGAAATAACTTGTCCCAGGATGTGACAAGTAGCTTCAGGATTTGATTCCTTGTTTGCCCGTTTTCAGAGTGTATGACCTTAACCACACTGAATCACAGCACCTTCCACATAATATTCCACATGGGAGTGATAAGCCGTGTGCACCTACCAAAGCTGCCAACTCAGACATGCTGCTGTTCATGCTCTAGGACAGCACTCCTCTAGAATTATAGTAAGTGCCATGTGAAGTGTTCAGTCTTCAGTAGCAGTAGTACCATGGAGGCACTGTGATGGGACAGGGTAAAGCACACAGCTGCTAACTGAAAGGCAGGCTTCCCTCCCACCTGTCGCTCCTTGAGAATAAGATATTGCCGTCAGCTTTCCTAAAGATTCACAGCCTGCAGGGAGGGAGCATTGGAACTGACTGTGATTGTATACAACTCATTTTAAAAGCGATTTAACCTGGGGGTGGGGGAGTTTACAGCCTCACAAACCTGGGGGCAGCAGCACAGGCAGCTCTACTCCGCCCTGTGGGTTGCTGGGTTGCTACTGAGTTGGAATCAACGCAGCACCAGTAGGTGAAATTAATTTTGAATATTATATTTCATTTTAACTGTAAAGTATCATTTCAAAATATAATTGATTTAAATATTTTACTTTTCTTACTTAGTTAGAAATCTAGTACGTACTATACATTTACAATACATCTTAATTCACAGTATCCACATACCAGGTACTCATAGCCATTGTGAGTGGTGACTACATTGAGTAGCACAGCTTAGAATGTGAGATGTGGAAATTAAGATGCCACCTTGGCCTTACATAGGCCCTCTGGTGACATAGTGGGTTACAAGTTGGGTTGCTAATCACAAGGTCAGTGGTTCAAGCCTACCAGACTTCCGAAGGAGAAAGATGAAGCTTTCTACTCCCATAAAGATTTACAGTCTCGGGAGCCCACACTGGCAGTTCTGTTCTGCCCTGTAGGGTCACTATGAGTCGGAATCAACTTGATAGCAGGGAGTTTTAATTTGGGGTTTTACATGGTTCTTCCCCTTTTCACAAAATTTTATTTGAAAATTGACTGCTGTAAGTGTAAATTGAATTTTAATTTGGGAGTAGGTGTTAACAGCCTCTCACTGTGCAGTTCAAGATTTCAATTTATATTGTATGTTTTAAAAAAACCTGCTCCCCTGCAACACATGTAATTTTAGAACTAAGCCTGTTAAAGCAAGTGTGTCTCAGACTTAATCTTTCTCTTCTCTACACAGCCATACAACTCCTGAAGTCTTACGTTTTCTGTGGGGCAAGATAGTACCACTCTTTTCATTAGATACTACATTCATTTTTATTAGACAGCACTAAAACAAGTTGTCATCTTGAAAGGGTGAATGGCTGGAAGATTAGAGAAAGCAGAGTGCTGTTCCTCGTGTGAAGCTATGCCCCGCAGGCTGACTGGTTTCTCTTCAGCTCTCAGCATATTTAAAAGCAATGGATCAATCTCCATTCTGAAATGATTATTGTTATTCTTTTCTTTCTTTTTGGCATCAGGGTTAAAACTCACATCGCTGGGGCCTTTCTGGGTGTTCCTAGAGTCATGATGCTTGTTTTTATCCTCAGAATTTGGTGTGCACTTGGCAGAGCTGACTGTAGACCCTCAGGGGGCACTGGCTATCCGTCAGGTAAGTCCAGACTGACCCAATTGGTGTATAATTTCACCTTGTTGAGTAATGAAACATATTTATGGGGAAGGGAAAGAATAAAGCCGCCTTACAAATAACTTAGTCCTAGATTTAAGGGTACTTCGAATAAATACTTCTGCCTGCGTCTCTGGTTTTTATGTGTGAACTTGGCTGTCCTGCTTGGCTTGTTCTTCACAGCTGGCATCTGTCATTTTGAAGCAGTATGTGGAGACTCACTGGTGCGCCCAGTCAGAAAAGTTCCGGCCTCCTGAAACCACAGAACGGGTAAGCAGAGTCATCCATTTGTTTAACTGTAGCATCTCTAGGGGCTGTCTTAAGAGACTGGGCTTTATCAACAGTCTTGACAATGGAAAGTCTAGAGAGTAAGCAGCAATAACCCCAGGGTGTGGAGGCGAAGGCACCTTCCAGGGGGCAGCAAAAGCAGATCCCTACATTTCATCCTGGATTAGGGCTATGGTACAAGTTTTTGTCAGGGTGGCAGTAGGTAATTTTGATGTTGTTCTTCAAAAGGGGTGGTATGCTGTATAAGTTGGTGGCGTATGTTCTAGACACAAAAGGAGACTGGTTGCTAGCTCATGAGGACACCAGGCTATAAAAGAAAGCAGTGGGTGTCACTCTGACTAGTATTCAAATACCAATTCTTCCTCTTACTCCAAAATCAATGCTATTGAGTCAATTCTTACTCACAGAGACCCTACAGGGCAGGGTAGAGCTGCCTCTGTGTTTCTCAGGCTGTACATCTTTATGAGAGTAGAAAGCCTCGTCTTTCGCTCGTGCCTTTTACTAGTGATAAGATATTGGAAATGTATTTTAACCTCTAAGTCTCAGCTTCTTAAATCTCTAAAACTAAAGTTTAAAACACCGATTTCAAAGAATTGAAGAATAAATTAAACAGTGTCTGTCCTTGGAATATTTCTACTTCGCACGATGCTATGTGACCCTCCTAAACACTTAAGAATTTCAAGATATAGAGAAGTGTTGTCCAGTGGAACATTCTGCAGTTATAAAAATATTCCTCAGCCATGTTGTCCAGTGTTGAAACGACTAGCCATATGTAGCTCTTAAGCACTAAAAGTGTCACTAGTGCCATTGAATTTAAAATTGTGTGTATGCTCTTTTAAATTTAAATTTCCTTCAGTGGCTAGGTGAACCCTGAAATTTATTGGTCATGTTTATGTATATGAATTTTTATTAAATACGATGTTACCTTGTATACCTTGTTTTTCTAATATGTGAACTAGACTGCACTCTGCCAATCACTTATATGCTGGTCTGATGGCAGTTGGGCTTCTCCTCCTCTGCAGGCAAAGATTGTTATCCGGGAGCTGTTGCCCAATGGGTTGAGAGAATCAATAAGCAAGGTGCGCTCCAGTGTGGCCTATGCGGTGTCAGCCATTGCCCACTGGGACTGGCCTGAAGCCTGGCCCCAACTCTTCAACCTGCTCATGGAGATGTTAGTGAGCGGAGACTTAAATGCAGTCCATGGAGCCATGCGAGTGCTGACAGGTACCGGAAGCCTTTTCTCTGACAGCAATATTTGGATCCCAAGAGAAAGAATGCCTTTAAGAAGCCATGAAGAGGAGTGGTCCAGCCCTGGGGGAATGGGAATTCGTAGCTCTCTTGCTTACCCTGCCCCTTGCTCCTTGTTTTAATGCCTGACTCCATTGGCATTTTTCCAGGGAATTAAGGGGATAGAGTTCTGCTTTCATTCCCGTAACTTTCCATTTAAGAATACAGTGCTTGCATACTGATGGAGTGCTCAGATTTTGATTCATATTCCAGCCTTACCGTGATTCAAGTTACTTAGCCTTTTTGAGCATGAATTTCATCATATATAGAAGTAAAGTAATGATAGTATTTAGTTTTGAGGGGCTTTGATAGTTTAAATGAGCTAATCTGTGGAATTGACTCAAAGGCAATGGATTAGGTTTTAATCTCTGTAAACTGTTGATTTTAACAGTTGGTTAAGTAGTAAGCGTTTTGTAAATTTGAGCCATTATGCTTAGCATCATCATTATATATTATTTCCCTCTTAATTTAGCCAAAGCAAGCTTAGAAACAGTCCAGTTGGAATTTTTATAGAAATAAAAGATAACCAAAAAAATGTCAGCACAGAATCTTTGCCTTTCTTAGCCCAGCTTAGGGAATGTGCAATCTTCCTTGCCCTTTCTTCTGAGAAATGGATAACATATTTGAACTTTTAGTTCTAGATTTGGTAGAGATTTCTTGTAATCCTGGTTAACCTATCAATCCCAGAACCTCCTTTCCTATCTCTCTTTAAGTGTTTGCTCTGAGTTTCCTGGGCTTCTGCAAGGTCAGCCCTGTTTCCTAGCCCCCTAATGAGTTCCTCCCAAAATGCATTGCCCCTGGAGGGCACTAGTAAAACCAGGGAGGCTGCAAAACCCGCTGCTGGCACCGTGTCCCAGATTGTGGGTGCTGGGGCACGTGTTCCATGGCTGGAGACTGCGCTGCTGTTTTGTTTGTTTTCTCTGACAGAAAAGGGCTGCTGGGCTGAACAAGTTAGGGACCCGTACCCTAGATGAAGCTGTTGTTCTTTGGCCCCCAAAGAGACCTCTGCTAGACTTTCACCACTTGTTCTGGCCCTTTAGGCGTCATCTTGTTCCAGTTCATAGCGTTTCGTGCCCGTGTCTGCCCAGTTCACTGTAACTTGCCAGCTTGCCTGAAGGGTATTCATAGCTGGTTGTGACTGCCAGTTCGACTCTTTTTGAAAAATCCAGGCCCGATTTTACTAGTTCATTAATGGTGATATTACTGGTAGGTTTTGATTAATGGTAATACAAATGTTATGTCGGGAAACAGAGCCCTCCTCTCTGTGACCCGTGGCACAGCTGCCTTTTCCAGCTCTGTCGTATTCTTAGGTCTCTCACAAAGCTCCATGCTTTACCTCCGCTGTGAAACATGTAGCCCAAAGGTTGGGTGCTCCTTGCTAGGTCTCCACTTCCCTACTTAGGTATTTCCCTTCTCTTTCATGAGTAGTCAGGGAATTCAGGTTCCTGTTTTTCAACAGTGCTTCCCAAAGGGGGCTCTGAAACAATCCAAGGGGCTGCAAAATCAGGTACTGACACTTTAGTCTGGATTAAGGGCTATAGTATAAAAGTTTTTAATTGTCTGGTGTGCAGAGCAACCCCCCGCCCCCATGAGAAGAAGGGGCAGTAGACCAAATAAGTTTGAGAACTTATGATATATAACATCATGATGGCGAGAAGTTCCAGCCTCAACTGCACAACTCTTCTCAATAAGATTAAACTATTAAGTTGGATGATGTGGATTATATGCCAGTAAAATTGATAAAACAAAGAAAAAAAGTTGACCCTCTCACCACCTTGGAGAAAAAGGTGGTTATACATTTATCCTGTTTGGGATGCTGCTGGGCTCTTGGGAAATTACTGCTCGGTGAGAACACTTTTGTCCTAGAGGCAGTGAAACAACTGTCAGGGAAATGTGTGTGTTTTGTAATGGATTCACTAGCCATAAAATAGATAAAGCCAGTCTCCATTCGCAAGCAGTTGTCCTGAACATTTTCAAGCAAGGGCAAACTGCTCTAACCAAAGAAACTAAGGCATGCATGGCAGTACCAGCGCACAGAGTCCTTTAGGAAAAGGAGACTGATTCTCTTCAAGATTTTTAAGTCCCTGTCGTAGTCTCCTTTTGAATGAGGCTTCCCATCAAACTGACATTTATAAAAGAGAAGTCACTGAGCCCATGGTATGAAGCAAATGTAAACACAGCTTTTTTTTTTGGTCTCAAGAATGCTTGAGAGTTCAATGTTGCTGATGGCTTACGCTTTTTCTGAGTGAGTGACCTAGGAAAACTTCCTTTGGACTTAAGTCTGTGAAGTGTTAATAATCGAGACAACAGGGGTGATTTTGAAAGAGTAAAAGTATGGTTAAGTATTGTATTAGTATTAAATTATGCTACCATTTTTCATAAAAACTTTATCATTAATATTCCATCCGTCATATTTGGGCAACTTTTCCTGGACTCTTCTAAATAAAATAGAAACCTTAACTATACTGTTCAATGTGCCAAACTTTATTCCTCAGGAGGAAACTACTGCTAGTCTATAGCCTTGTGTATTTGATCCTCATTTGACTTGTAAAGATTGGTGTTGCCCAAAAGACTTTGTAGTATATTTGAAGATACCATTTCTGCATATATGTATCTCCTACAAAATGTCACAGTTGATTTGCTTCATTTTTTTAAAGTTATAAATGAATCATTTTACTGGAGTCTCTTACAGCTCTTATAACAATCCATACATCAATTATATCAAGCACATTTGCACATATGTTGTCATCATCATTTTCCATATATTTGCTTTCTATTTGGGTACTTGGTATCAGCTCTAATTTTTTTTCCTCCCTCCCCCACCCGCATGGACCCCTGATAAATTATAATTATTATTATTTTCATATTTTACACCATCCGCTGTCTCCCTTCGTCCATGTTACTGTTGTTCATCCCCTGGGGGGTGGGGGTGGCGTTATATGTCCTTGTAGGGGGTTCCCCAATTGTTGCATTTTTATAGGTAAATTGAATAGAAGAGCCAGGGAGCCCACCCAGTAACGTGAAGAGGTCACCTACTAGAACTTGGTGGTTTGTAATGCTTCGTACTGTGAGCTCCAGTCCTTCGTGCTGTCTCGGGGCCTGATGTGGTGATGGTTTTGTTTGTTTTCAGAGGTTAGGTACGGAAGGAGTGAAGGAAAAGGTAGGCCCCATACTTCTATCTTGCTCTTCCAATCTCATTCTACCTATGTTTTGCTTTCTGCCAATTCCTGTCGTCCTGCTCTAGTTGCCATTCGCTTCTGACTTCTAGGTCAGCGAGTGTCCTCCACTAAGAAGAATAGCATATGCAGAGTGCAAGTGCTGCCTACTGGGCATGCACAGATTTTATCATGGGCACCCAAATGGCTTGTCAAGGGAGAATGTTGAAAGCAGGATCCAAGATAAGAGACCTGGAAGTACTCCTGGATGTTGACAGAGGACATGCAGTCTTAATCTCTTGTTCTTGTGTTTTAAATCTCCAGTTTCTCCTCTACAAGTGTTCGGTAACTCTTGCTTCTTTTCTTTCCCGAAGATAAGTCCATCAGGCCAAAGTCTTTACCTGCATGCTTTCTAGTTGAGATGTCTTTATAAAGCAATTTTTTTTTTTTGTACAATGTTATTCTTTATAGAATTCACCCGGGAAGTGACAGATGCGCAGATGCCCCTTGTTGCTCCTGTCATCCTGCCAGAGATGTATAAGATCTTCACCAGGGCCGAGGTACGAAGTCCTAGCCCAAGAGCACTCTGGCTCTCCACAGCTGCCGTAGCTCAGCTGGGAGCCCATAGTTTCTGGATGCTGTTCAACTCCAGACCTGAAGAGGAGAGTGGACAAAGATGTTAATCTGGATTGGTCTAAGGATATTTCACAAGAATGAAGTGGCTGAAATATTTATTCACACATGTCATACCTTCTGGGCATCACATAATTCCTAAATAGCTAATGTCTTTAGGATACCTCTAGCGTTGTGGAAAGGATCTCTGGTAGTGTAGTAAGCTACTAGCCACAAGACAGTTATTCAACCCCACCAGCTGTTCCTTGGTAAAAAGATGTAGCTGTGGACTCCTGTAAAGATACATAATTTTAAGAACCTCAAGGAGAAATCCTCTGTCCTCTAGGGACTATAGGGTTGGAATCAACTCGGTTTGGTTGAGTGCCTTATTGAGGCATCCCACCTAAAACTCACAGAGCTAAGTATTTGGATGTAATCTACCACGATGTATTGCACGTAGTAGATCTGTTGCACTGTGTGTGTATTTGTGCCTTGGAGTGGTGACTCGTCCACAATGAAAGGTGAATGCCTGACGATAGGTAATGTTTTAACCATACCAGTAATTTTGAGGGTGGCGCAGGGCTGTATTGTTCCCTCTGTCTCCACGAGTAGGAACACACCTAACAGCAGCTCTCCTTTCTTTCCCAACCATGGGTATTTGCATCTTAAAAGAGATTAGCCATTTGGGGATCTCAAGCAGAGCCAGTCAGATATTTTTAATGTAAGTCAGCCCATAGAGCAGCGGTTCTCAACCTGTGGGTCGAGACCCCTTTGGGGGTCAAATAACCCTTTCACAGAGGTCGCCCAATTCATTAACAGTAGCAAAATTACAGTTATGAAGTAGCAACGAAAATAATTATGTGATTGGGAGTCAGCACAACATGAGGAACTGTATTAAAGGGTCGCGGCCTTAGGAAGGTTGAGAGCCACCGCCCTAGAGGTACGTGGAAGGCTAATCCCGACACATTCTAAAAGGTGAGCTTCCTGCCTTAAATCTCTCAATTACAGAAGAGCTTTCTTCTGGACATGAATGGATAGCATTTCTGGTCTAGGGGACTCAGTCTCCTGAGGATTGAGTAGAGATGGTTTTGCATGGAGTCACCAGTTTAGGCACACATGCACACCCCAATCTCAGCTGTGCTATAACATTGTTCCTCAGGTGTATGGGATTCGAACCCGTTCCCGAGCTGTGGAGATTTTCACCACCTGTGCTCACATAATCTGTAACATGGATGAACTGGAAAAAGTAAGTTAGCCTCTGGATGAGTAACCATGTCCATGCCTCCCATTAAGGACATCTCAGGATGAGCCAATGTGGTGGGTAAATGAACTATTCTGATTATGTTTTTTCATTTGTGTACTTTTATGTAAGCCATATTTTGTCTAGCACCTTCTACTGTGCTGACTTTTATACTGGTCATCACTCAGAAACGTCCTGTGCAGCAAAAGTCTTGATCTTTCCCGTGGTGCAGCAGTTCACAGAGGCCTTTTATGGCTCTCTTGTGTGAAGCAGGTAGCTACAAAGCTCTAGTCCTATGAGTCAGAAGCAGTTCTGGAAAGTTGGTCTTATATAAGAGGGTTGTGATGAGGAACTTTAAGTGTTAGGTACGAACATCTAACACTTCCGTCCTTCTGACTGCTTCTGCGAGGTGGGGAACCACCTTGCAGTAGGTAGTTTGGTCTTTGTTGTCAATGTACTTATGCCAAACCAGCACCAAAGGCTAACGGAAGGTCCTGACCAGACCAGGCCTTGTGAATTAGGATAGAATATCTCATAACCATTTGGTGAGAATAATGAAGTTTGAGCAATGTGTTTCATTTGAATGGAGTCTCCTCTTGAGAGAATAAGTGTGTCCTGAGACATGGAAGCTCTGCTCTGGGGCGCTTCCCAGAGCCTACCCTATGCATCTCTCTATTTGGATCTTGATTGTTAAGTTAAAGCTATTTTCAAAGTACGCTGTTTTCCATGAGTTCTGTGAGTTGTTTCTGTGCATTGTGGCACCCAAAGGAGCAGTGGGAATGGGGTGTTAGTCTGAAGTGGGAGAGTCAAAGGACCCTTGAAGTGCGTTGGACCCTTGAGGGAGGGTGGGGGGTCGGGCATTGGGGCTGAGTGGTCTGAGGTGAGACACCGTTTAAGCTTACAGCAGGTACCAGGGTGGCTAAAGGTGAAAGGCTGCGGAGCGCGTGGTGTCCGCCCTGTGTGGAGTGGGTTTGTTAAAGCTGTCTTGACTGCGTGCTCAGACATCAGTGTTTGGTGCACACAGGAAGCTGTTGACCAGTGGTTAGGTCAGCACTGATTTGGAGTTCTGTTATCAGGGTGCAGCAAAAGTCTTGATCTTTCCCGTGGTGCAGCAGTTCACAGAGGCCTTTGTTCAGGCGCTCCAGATACCGGATGGCCCCACGTCTGACAGTGGCTTTAAAATGGAAGTCCTAAAGGTGAGCCTTCCCCACCAGTGCGATTCTAGACTTTGAAAAAGAGGTGTGCGGCCCTGGGTGGCTTCTACCCCATGTGTAACTCTCGGGTCTTTCTCTATCTCAGGCCGTGACGGCGCTGGTGAAGAACTTCCCCAAGCACATGGTGACCTCCATGCAACAGATTCTTCCCATTGTCTGGAACACCCTGACTGAGAGTGCCGCCTTATATCCTTTCCTGACGTGGATTTGGGTTTTGCTGAAGTGCCGACTCCTAAGGAAATGGGCCACTGAAAACCCTGTAGGGCACAGTTCCACTCTGACACATGTGGGGTCACCACGAGGGGGTCAGCAGAGGGCAACTGTCCTCTGTTGTTTTGTTTACTCAGCATTAGAGTGTATGTACACAAACAAACAACCAAAACCCACACTTGCTGCCATTGAGTGGATTCAGACTCAGGACAGTAGACTAGCCCCTGTGAGATTCCATCTTTCTTCTGGGGAGCGGCTGGCCCAGCAGCTAGCTGCCCAATGCCCACCAGGCTCTAGAGTGTATGTCCATCAAGTTCCCAATTCTGTTTCTTCACTCTTCATCATACTTATGTGAAGACAGAAGTGAATTACACAGAAGAAGTAGAAGATCCTGTGGACTCTGATGGTATGTATGTTTATCTTGTTTAACAGAGACAGCAGTTTGTGGAGAAGAGAATTGCGATGGGAGAGGGGGTTGTCCCGGGGATAGTAACTTAGAAGCGTCACTCTCTTCAGTGAGTTTTCTGTCTATAATTGAGATGGCAAACATGCTCAAGCATAAGCGTTGTGGGGAAATAATAAATTGAAAAATCTCTCATTGATTTTTTTTGCTTATAGACATTTCCCTAAATGTCATAAAATCAGGATTTCTGAGTGGGGAGAGACACTTTAAAGGCTCTGGCCTATTCCTGGTCCCTTGTTATGTTTAATGTTGGAGTCCCAGAGAGAACACTTCCGTTTTGGTGTGAATGTTTATAAGTATGCAAAAGTAAACATGGTGGCAAATAACCAGGGGCATGAAGAAGTTCCCGGGAGACATTCCATCACCTTTTAATTCCATTGTCCACAAGCTTTCTGAAGAGCCCTCATGCAATGATACCCTGGGGGCCAGAACTCAACAGAGAAAGTTTGCCACCTTCCACCGGGCCAGTCTGTTTCTCCTTCTTGTGGAGAATGGTTGAGTTCCTCTCTGACAGGGCCCCACCTTCCACAGGGGCAGTCTGTTACTCCTTCTTGTGGAGAATGTTTGAGTTCCTCTTTGACGGCCCCACCTTCCACAGGTGCCAGCTTCTCCAGGTTTGAGTATGTAGTCATGCATGACTCCTGGTTCTTTTACCTAGAAATCCCAGGAAAAGTTATCATCCTCAAAGGTTTCTTCTTTTGCGTCTGAAAGGGATCACATTGGGTCCTGGATAAAATGAGAGAAAAATGGAGCAAGAAGTCACAATCATTTTTCAAAAGACCAATCTTACTGGGCAGAGAGAGACTAGTGGAACCCCTGTAACCAGGGTTCTTCGTCACCCTTCAGGCTTGGAGATGAACCCCTGGCCACACCCCCATAGTTCAGTTCAGCCCAACAGTAGACCAGTCTATAGGGGGAATAGTAACGCCTAGTGAGGTACACATGCTTTGAAACAATCAGCCATTTGAATGATTAAAGGCTTAGCATTACCCAGAACAAAATTCCGAGTGTTACAAGAGAACACGGACTAGAAACCGGACACACAAGGAGGCAGTGGATAAGTGATGTTCAATTGTGGGGCTTGCCGTCATTGGTCAGAAATAAATTGTGTCTATGAATTGTTGAATGAAAACCTGGCTTGCTCTGTAACCCTTCACCCAATTCACAGTAAAACATTAAAAAAACACAAATGTAAAGTTCCTTTCTTTGGTTTTGTTAGCCATTTGCTGGTTTTCAGGGGCAGTTAATTTCTAAGTTCTTTTACTGGTAAATGAAGAAAAGTATGGCACCTTTTGAAGTGAGTTCATAGTTTTGAATAAACTTCCTGCCATTCACTTTCTAAAGTGCTTAGACGTGTATCTTGCTCATGAATGTGTTCTGCTGGAACACAGCCTGGTGCAAAGAGGAAATACCAGGGCCGATGCTACAGACAAATGTCTGTGGAATGATGCACATCCTCTCAAGTGTGGAGGATGGAGGCCTGCTTCTATAAGAAGCTGGGCCTGGGGCTGAAGGTAGGGAGAACATCTTAACAGCATGGGGAACAGCCAGGGGAATCCCTTTGTTTCTGCTTTACATGTGAACCCCAGTGCAGCCAGATGAGGCTCTCCAGTTTAATAAAAATCGTGGAAAAGTCTTAGGAAGACTCTGCATAGGCACTAACATAGATTTTATAAGCTGGGTCTGGTTGCCGTTTCCAGTTCCTTAAGATGGTTCATCTTGTTCACCAGTGTTGAGCCAATGCTTTCTCATATCCAAGTCTCTGAATGTGCATTCTTCTCAGGCGTGTTATGCAAAACCCAAACAAGATTCTTCTTTTGACTCCTCATCCCCCTCTTACTAAACCTTTGGGAATAATAAGTAAGTGCTTTAAATGTTTATTAATTTACAGATCTAACAATTCATTATCATCATACAACATGCTGGCTGGCTTTTGGTTTTCTTGTGATTAACAACTTTTCTTTTTGTAAGTACTTTAATTGGGAAACAACTTTTTTTTGCATTTTCTATAGGAGAAGTCCTGGGCTTTGAGAATCTCGTCTTTAGCATTTTTGAATTTGTCCATGCCTTATTAGAAAACAGCAAGTTCAAAAGCACCGTTAAGAAGGCCTTGCCTGAGTTGATTTACTATATTATCCTATACATGCAAATCACCGAAGAGCAGGTAAGTGGTGTGTAGGAACCCGTTGCCAGATTGTCTTTGGAAAGTGCAGCTTGCTGTCAGTGAGGCCCACATCAGTGCACACTGTTTGGACAAACAGGTCCCTAACAGAGTTAACTTTGTGAAGTTGTCGGAAAACATTACACCCTTGAGTAAAGGGTTTTATCCACTTCTTTGTTAGGTTATTGGACTTTGAGACTCTTTTTACCATTAGTAAGGTTTCTACAGGACCACTAACCCAAAGCACTGTCAGCTCGGAGAGCCTGTTTCTTTTCTAGAAACAGTGAAATGTGGGGATCAGGTCATTCGCCTAGTTGGTGGGTCATTGGAACCAGAAGAGTAAAGGATAAAATAATGGCTTCTCTTCTATAACAGAGCACAGAGATTAGCATACTTTCCATAGTAAATCGACTTGGTAGCTTGAGAAAACGTATTTGTCAGAGAATAGTAGTCGATTGACAGTAGCAGAGAGTGGCGAGGGCTTCAGCTGATTCCAGAGTCCTGTCTTCTGGGAAATCATAGCTGTTGCTGTTGCCTTGACAATAGATTTGCTTTGCTGCATCAAAAAGAAAAGATTTTGAGTCTAGAGCTTTTTTGAGGTTAAAACAAAAGCTTAGAGTCTAACTGCATTATGTAAAGAGGGAGTACATGGAACAGATCCATGGCCTTACAAAAACCTAACCACCTCTTGTTTTCAGATTAAAGTCTGGACAGCCAACCCCCAACAATTTGTGGAAGATGAAGATGATGATACTTTCTCCTATACTGTTAGAATTGCGGCTCAAGATCTTTTACTGGTAAGAGGGTTACATAATACTTCAAGTAAATCTAACTTCGCCACATGAGCTTTTCCTCCTTTCCAGAAATTTAACCCAAGGCCGGAGTTGTTGGGTGGCTTTGTGGCAGGCTTTTTGAGGAATGTGAAAGAATATCTCAAATCAAGTAGTGAGACTTGGGGATTCCAAACTCACTGCTACTCGTTCTGATTTACAAATACACTTCCGTTGTAAGAATCGTGCCCAGAAGAGAGAATCCTCGTCTGTAAGGCTGTGAATCAGAAACCGTTTGATTCACCCTTTGGCAGAAATGAGAAGTGGCCGAACATTTTGCCCCCCTGGGAAACGAACATCTTTCTTGACTCCTCTGATTAGAATATCCTCATGTTTCTACACTACAGGACTATGCAGAAGCTGCCACTTGCTGCCTGTGGGGTGGGAAGTTCTCACTGTGGGTGATTCACTTGCCATCATCCTTTTGTGTTTCTAAGGCATCTGTGAGGAGCTCTGGTGGTGTGGTGGGTTCCCAGTTGGGCGGCATTTCGAAGCCACCAGCCGCTTGGGGAGACAGAGGAGACTTTCTACTCCTGTGTACAGTTAGTCTTGGAAACCCACAGGGGAAGTTCTACCCTGTCCTGTAGGATCGCTATGAGTTGGAATCAACTCAATGACAGTAGGTTTGCTTTTAGTTTGGTTAAAGCACCTTTGAAAGATCACGTTTGATTTCAATTAGTAGATTATCCGTATTTTTCTATGAACAGACTCCAAGAAAACAAATAGCTGGCCCCTTGCCACGCAAAGCTGAATCTATCATTGCTTCTTACACTCTGTTGAGTACAGTCAAAAGCAATAGAGCTATTCAGTCAGGTAACATCCTAGCTAGCGCAGTTTGTGAATAAAATGCGTTTAGTTTGCACAAGTGGGTCTTTTGTTGTTTGTGGTACTGTCAGATTCATAGTGACCCTGTCAACAGAACAAAACACCCTTCCGTCCATCCTGCACTCACATCCTTTCCTATGTTTGAGTCCATCGTTGGCAGCGAGTGTATCAGTCCATCGCATTGACAGTCTGTCTCACTCTCACTGACCCACTACTGGACTGAGCATGATGACCTCCAGGGACTACGTGACACGAAGCCAACCTCACTTTCAAGGGGCATTCCAGCTGTTCAAAGGCACTTCATTACCTCTTCATTCAATTTTTCTACACACTTCTTGAAGCCCCTTCATACTTCTTCCCAAACAAACTTGTTCTTCTAGCAGTCCATGCATATTAATGTCCTTTGCCAACACTGTAATCCATGCCCACCTTTTTGATCGTGCAGCTTTTCTACGTATATGAAGTGATGGAAAATACCAGGACTTGGATTAAGAGCACCTGAAGTCCTCAAAGTGACATTTTTGCCCGTTAACATTTTAAAGAGGTCCTGTGTTGCAGATTTGCCCAGTGTGATACATCATATGATTTCCTAACTACTGTTTCCATGGGCACTGTTTGTGTATCCAATTAAAATGAAATCCTTGATCACATCAGCGGTTCTCCATTTATTAACATGGTGATGTTTATCATCCACTTATGAAGGCTGTGGTCTTTGACCTTCATCAGTAAATGTTTTAAGTCTGCTTCACTTTCTGCCCCCCCATCCCCCCCAAAAAAAGTTGTGTCATCTGCACATCACAGGTTGTTAAAGAGCCTTCCTCCAATTCTGATTTGGAGTCTTTCATATAGTCCAGCTTGTCGGATTATTTGCTCAGCATACATCCTGAACAAGTGGTGAAAGGGTGCATTCCCGATCACCCTTCTTCTGATTTTAAGTGACCTAATGACCCTGGTTCTGTCCCAACAAATGCCTCTTAGTCTATATACATGTACAATTACGTTCTGGAATCCCTATCCTTCATTCCCTATGAGACACCAAATCAAATGTTTTTACATAGTCAATAAAGTGCACATCTCTGCTTTTAGCTAAGAACCACCTGATGACAGCAGTGGTATCCTTCATTCCTTGTTGTCTTCTGAATCGGCTTAAATTTCTGGCAGCTCCCTGTTGATTACTGCTGCAATCGTTCTTTGAATGACCTTCAGTCAATATTTACTTCTATGTGATACGAAGACTATTACTCAGTGTTTTGCACATTTTGTAAGGTCACCTTTCTTTGGAAAGGGTGCCATTATGGGATCTCTTCTAGGCAGTTGGATTTATGAGTTTTCTCTCCCTAGGCTGTGGCCACAGATTTCCAGAATGAAAGTGCAGCAGCCCTGGCTGCTGCAGCCACTCGGCATCTACAAGAAGCCGAGCAAACCAAAAACAGTGGCACCGAACACTGGTAAGGAAGGAGTGAGTCGCAGAGCGTTAACTGAGGGGGCTGTTATGGGCATCACATCAGATAATAAGTCCTTGTGCTGCGTTATCTATCGGTTTGTTTTAAAGCAATTCTAACTAGCCCTGAAGTAAGTGGTGAAGATTTTTTTTTTTTACCCCTTTTTTAAAGTCTTAAACGGAGATGGCCTTTTACTTTGTACTTAATGAGGACAAACATCAGTCATTTCAACTCTGCTCTGTTTTCAGTTGTAGTGTAGATTGGAAGGCAGAGAAGTGGCCCTTGGGGGTAGATTGTGCTAGAGCAGCAGTTCTCAATCAGTGGGTCACGACCCCTTTGGGGGTCGAACAACCTTTTCACAGGGGTCGCCCGATTCATAACAGTAGCAACCTGACAGTTAGGAGGTAGCAGTGAAAATAGGGTTGTGGTTGGGGTCCCCACCGCATGAGGAACTGGATGAAAGCGCCTCGGCAGGAGGAGGGTGGAGAACCCCTGTGCTAGAGAGTCATTTCATGACTCTTCCTCCGATTTCTGCCCTTGCTGTGGCTGGTGGGTTGACCTGGCTCTCGTGTCGATCACAGGTGGAAGATCCACGAGGCCTGCATGCTTGCTCTGGGCTCCGTGAAGTCCATCATCACCGACAGTGTGAAAAATGGCAGGATCCACTTTGACATGCATGGATTCCTGACCAGTGTCATCCTTGCAGACCTCAACCTCTCAGGTATGTTTTCAGTCCAACACCGGGATCCTGGAAGACCTCCAGGCGTCATCCCTCAGTTGTATTATTCTCTTGGGTCAGTAGCCAGGTAGTCTCATCCTTCTGGTGAAAAATCTTCTATTTACCCAAGAGCTAAAACTCATTACAGCCTCCAAAGTGGCCCACAAACAGTGACTTTCCTGCCAAAAGACTGCTGTCACTTAGTTCAGAATTATTTCTTTGCTCCTGGTCCGCGCTGTTTTAGGGCAGTTTGAGTGGAAAGCAAGTCTGGACCCTGACAGCCCTAGCGTGAGCCCTGCTCCTGTCTTTAAGTTCCGAATGCTGCCAGGCATTCTGTCAGGCTCGCTCTTTGTGTTTTTCTCTTGTCATTTTTCCCCTTCCACTTTATTTTTGGTCTGCATCCAGATAATTAAAGTGTTACATGTTTTCATGGTAGCTGTTTGTGTTAAAAACAAAAAATAGCTAAGAGTCAGTATTGTCTATTTAACATTTTTTTGCTACATCGCTTCTACCTTTGGCATGCCTTTTTGTCATCGTAGAGCCTGACCAGACCCCCTAGTCCAGAATACTGGCTTTACGTCCTCTCTCAGTTCTTCAATCATGGGACACATGGCATTGTTTGTCCCTGTCTCATTCTGCCCTGTGACTCACCCTCTTCATTTCCATTTTCTCAATCACAGAGCTCACCTCCAGTGGGAATGTCATATTTCACTCTGCACTTGTCCTGTGCTACATTGCATTGTTGTTGATGTTCTATTTTCTTAGTCCTACTAGAGCAGAACATCTCTGAGAGTAAAGACCATGTCTAATAGATCTTTGTATCTCTAAAGCGCTTTGCCCCTAATAGGCATTCCATGATTTTATGATCAAGCGAAGGTATTGGAATTTCACAAACTTTAAAGCATATTTACTGAAGAGTTTGCACTAGAAAAGAATCTAAAGAAACTATTAGCAATTTTAAAATAGTTGATAGACTGAGCCCAAACTGCCTCATAGAGTGTCCAAGCTATGCTCTCTACAGCAGCAGCCTGTCTCGTCTTGCTTTCGTGGAGCATCCGGTCGGTTACAAACACCGGCCTTTTGGGTAGCACAGCACTTAGCCACTGCATCACCAGGCCTCTTAGCACAGAGGAAACTGGGATTACTTCAACCCGAGAGGCCAGCTAGGCAGTGCAAGGAGAGGTGTGTTGGCTGATCATTTAAACCAACTACAAAGGTGTCAGAATATGGTTTGGGTTGCTGTGAAGAGCTTTATGTTTGATTGAGGAACTAGAGGTAATGCTAGAAAGACTGTTTTGAGGGGTCATACTTACTTGGTCTTAATGTATGTAGACTAAGCAATTCATTGACAGATTTAAAATTAAAGATTGCATCTTTGGCGCTGTAATGCACAATGTTCTATAGTGGTTCACCGGTGGGGAAAAAACTAGTAATGGAGAAGCATTGTAGTAATGCTGTCAGTAAAGAATATGAGTTGGCCTTACCAACAGGGATAGGAAGTCTGTTTAATGTAAGAGAATCCAAGTTCTACTTCACCAGTTATTTCAAAGAAAATTGGGGGTGAGGGTGGGGCTAAAACCAATTATATACTATGTGATTCCTGGTGACAAGCTGACAGGTGGGATAGAAGAATGACAAGGAAGAGGACACCCTTCATCCAACCCCTAATTGCGTGTCTTCCCCCAGTGTCTCCGTTCCTCTTGGGCCGGGCACTGTGGGCTGCCAGCCGGTTCACTGTGGCTATGTCCCCTGAACTAATCCAGCAGTTCTTACAAGCAACAGTTCGTGGGCTTCAGGAGACACAACCCCCATCAGTTCGGATTTCTGCTGTAAGAGCTATTTGGGGGTAAGTACACCCAAAATACGGGGCTTGGAGTGTTGGAAATCACTGAAGAGAAATTCACTCAGGATAGCTATCCCAAACTAAAGTGATAAAATGAATTATGTTGCCTGGAAGTTTCCGGTGGAGAATTTCTTCAGAACAGTTGTAGGGGACACACCACAGCAGAGGTCTGACTTCTGTAAGACCAAAGGATGTGCCGTTCCCTCCTACTCCTCATTCCCACAAATTACACTCACTGCAGCTCTGGAATTGTCTAGGCCGGCCAGCTCCCTTTCCCGCCGTGAGGCCTGCAGCTCTCCCAGACACGTGACTTACAGAGAGTTGCAAGCTGTCAGGGCAGTAGCCTGATGAGTCTGTGTGGTTGTGTTGCTTGCTTCTTTATTGCAGACCATGCTTGATTTGCTGTGGCCTGCAAGCACTGCTTATTTTTTTCTATTTGGCTCTTTCACAAGCCATGTACTATGGCTCAGCAGGTCCCTTACTTCCACTTTTATCCGGACCAGAGGGAAGGAGTATTAGAGAGTCCGTGTAAAGGAATAATTTAGAGTCAAAACCTAAGACTCTCAAATCCTAAAAATTTCCAACGTAAAAGTTGCCTTGCATTTGCCTACACTGTCTTCTTAACCCCTTAAGGCAGGGGTTGAGATTCTGTGCATTATAATATATCTGTCTTCAGGCAGCAGTGAGCCTGTGGGTGCTTGCATGGTTATGAGCACGGAGAGAGACCAGTCTTTTCTGCTGCAAGCTCTGAAAAGCAACTCTCTGCCTTGAAAATTGTTACAGCTAAGGATGACCTTTTGGAAAGCTCCGAGGCGCCTATAAGAGATGAGAGTCAGCCTGACGGTGGTTCTGGGCATAGGCCAGAGGTTGTGCCTATGCATCTTCTAAGTATATTTGTAAAATGTCCTTTATCATGTGTCAGTGTAAAGATGAAAAGCATTTGCCACCTAGGGGAACCAACAACAGAAACCATGGGGGAAGGGAGACAGCAGTCCGTGTAAGATATGAAAATAATAATAATCTGTAATTTATCAAGGGGTCACGAAGATCGGTGGAGAGCTGACACTAAGGGCTCAATAGAAAGTAAATGTTTAGAAAATAATGATGACAACACACATACAAATATGCTTAATACAATTGATGTATGGAGTGTTAGAAGAGCCCCCAATAAAATGATCTTTTAATTTAAAAAAAAAAAAGCATTTGCCAGCTGAGTAAGGACAAAATGATGAAAATCTCCGTCTACCTTATTTGAAGCTGCTTTAATGGGCTAGAGGTGATATGAGGAACACAAGTGGAGAAGCAGACATGAGTGGGCGATAGGGATTTGCCCCACTCTGGTGATGTTGCAGAAATGTTCACTCCCCCTAGTCTGCAGAGGCCTTCGTGTGAAGGTGGAAGGAGTCCAGTACTGTCTTAAGAGATCAGCAGACCTTCACTTTGCTTCTCTCTAGGGGCTGAGAATAAAAGGAACTTGATTCTATATTTAAAATGGGATGTTGGGGGTTTTGTTTTGTTTTTACACGATTATATAACTCATAGTAGGGGAAGAGAATATATGAAGAAACCTTTGAAAACCTAAGGGTGTTCATGTCTTTGACCAAATAGGCAGTGGCTCTTGATGGCTATCACACCTTCTGAAGCTGTGACTGCAAGCCAGAGAAATGAACACATGCCAGAGGAGCATCAAGACGTTTGTGGGAAATTTTTATTATGGTCCAATTCCATTTTCATTCCCCATGAATTTTTCGAAGCCTTTGTTACATGCTTAGAAATTTTTATATTCAGTGTCAAGCGCTTTGTGGCGCTCTGGAAGCCTATGTGGATCCCAACCTAAGAATTACCTCGTGAGGAGATCGCTTGCTCTTTTTTTCTTCACAGCCATGACTCTCCAACAGATTCATTTTGCTAATGTTTCCCAGCTAATTATAAACCTAGTATGTTCTCGTTACATTACCCAAACTGTGCTTTCTCACTTCACTAGTGGCATGTGAGTGGCCATCACCTCGTGCTTGCTTTTCTTCTCTGGCAGCCACAGTTTTAACTTATCTTTCAATGCCACCACTTATGTATCATGACAAACTAGCTCAACTCCTTTCTGAAACAAGTTAATGACTGACATAATTATTCTTGGGTCACATTTCTCAGGTTATATTTACGCCAGCCTTTCTCCCAGGCTCCAAATTAGTGTATCTTCTCTGGAGCGCTCTACCACCTCCAATCATGCCCTAGCTCCAGGCATTTCCTGTCCTGGTGAAGTCACAGAGCTTGTCTCCCCTTTTCAAAAAAGGTGACGATCCCAGACCACAGCTTGCTTTCTCGCAACGATAGATACTGCCGTAGCTTGTGCTCTCAGCGTCTTTTGCCTGGAATTCTTACTTCTGATTGATCTCTGCACCTCCAGCCTCACACTTCTGCCAGCTGTAGTATTTTAGCTGTTGTCAGAAAAAAGAAAGCTGACGGCATTGCTCCTATAGTGAAACCCACTGTGTGGGACACAGGCACCTAGCAGAAGTGACAATGTACCCCTAGTTCATGAGGCCACAAGATAAATCGATCATGTCTTCCTAGGGTGTTGGCTTTCCTTGAAGACTTTGGAATAGGGAAGGAGGAAATTAGAGATTGGGTGTGATTTGTTAATTAATTAAAAAAATTTTGAAAATATTGAACAATGACTGGTTTCCAGAATAATGTCCTGGCAGACAAGATCTCGGGTGGTATGGCCAGATGGATACATCCCTGTAATCCATGCCAGACCGCACAGCTTCAGATTTGTTGGCGGGTAATGTCCCTGTAAGCCAAGAGAAGAGGCTGAGTGGGGTAGGGCTCAGCTGAGTATAGGTAGAAATGAACACAAAGCCTACTTGAAGGAGTTAAGAGAGAGCTGACTCAGGCCAGATGCCAAATCAGCTCTTTTGAAGACGTCAGATCTGAGCAGGTGATGTAGAAAATCAGGACATGGCTCAAAAACATGAATAAGGATGAATCTTAGATCAAAGCCCACCGTTGCACTAGACCCTGTGGGCCCTTTGAACCAAACAGCGGATAAAAATGACATGGCATGTAGACAGAATACTTTTTAAAACTTAAGAAAAAGTATTTCTTAAATAGCTGCTGAACCACTGTATCCCATTGGATATGGTGAGTACTTCATAAATATGCAAATAAGGTTAAAGAAACAAAAATGTTAAGTGTTTTTATTATGTAGAAGTTTAAAAAAAAAGTGTCCTATCAAATAACAGTGGAAGTATATTTGAATATGACTGACTAATGCAGTGCTCTGATAAAGGAATTTAACTTAGTATCTTAGTAATTTGGTTATTATGACTAGATGGGAATTTGCTTCAAAACAGCAGTAGGGACATGAAAGAAATTGAAAGGAACTCGCAAAGATCAAAGCAAGAATATGTTTTAAACCATAGAACTGGGCATGATAGTATTCTACAGAAAGAAGTAGAAACCTAGGAAAACCACATGTGTAAAGGCTGCAGTGTGTATGATTAATCAGAAGACCCAGAAGTCGGGCACCTGAGTAATTCTTGCTTATCTGTCTCTCTAGTTACTGTGACCAGCTGAAAGTCTCAGAGAGTACCCACGTGCTTCAGCCCTTCCTCCCCAGCATCCTTGACGGCCTAATCCACCTAGCAGCCCAGTTCAGCTCAGAGGTCCTCAACCTGGTGATGGAAACGCTGTGCATCGTCTGCACAGTTGACCCAGAATTCACAGCAAGCATGGAAAGCAAGATCTGCCCCTTCACTATCGCCATTTTCCTGAAGTACAGTAACGGTATGCTATAGGGAAGGTGTGTTGATGGGGGTCCCAAAGAAAAGATGCTGATCAGTAAAAGTGATCCCAAGTCTGAGGATCTTAGATATCATAAGCAAAGAACATGACTTTTCATTAGGAAAGAGTTATGTTCTTTCCTATATATTGATATAGGAATAATAAAAAGAATAGCTATTCCGGTGACACTGCCTAATAAGGACTAGAAGAGAAAGATAATGAATAAAAAGCTACAAAGGGGAGAGCTCATTTGGAATTTTGGTGCTAGAGAATTGAGCAACTAAATCAGAAGCTTCTTAGGAGAAAAGCATAGGCAGTAGTTTAAGGAGCTCCGGTGCCATGGTGGTTAAGTGCTCACCTACTAACCAGAGAGCCAGAGGTTCAAACTCACTGGCTGTGCAGCAGAAGAAAAGACCTGGAAATCTGTTTCCGTAGAGATCACAGCCTTAGAGACCTTATGGGACAGCTCTGCTCTTTCTTATAAAGTCATTATGAGGTGGCATTGGAAGTAGAATTTAGAAAAAATGAGAGTGAAGAAAGACATATGTAGAGGTTTATGAACAAAGGTGTTCAAGTGTTTGATATAACTGTTTACTCAAACATTGCTCTAAAAGTGAAAATTTAGAGAGAATAAAGAGAATCACTTATTATATCCATGAACTAGATTTAAATAATTTTAGGCAGCCATTAAAATCAAAGTTTAAAAGAATAATTAAATTACATTACATTACAATTAAGAAAAAGACCATTTTCCATAAATGCATAGAACGTGATCCGAAAAATTGGGTTTTGAGTTTAGAAAAGGCATATGTATGTTCTAGATCCTTATGTAAGAAAACGTTAAACTCATTGCCGTCAAGTCAATGCTGGCTCATCGTGACCCTGCAGGAAGTGGTAGAACTGCCCCCATGAGTTCCAGGAGTTGAAAGTGCACTCCTTGGGATCGAAGCCTGACGTGTACGCACTACACCGCCATGGCTTCATATTATCGTAGGTACCAGCAATCAGGTCGGTCTGACTGTCAGCAGACCTGTGCACAACAGCACAGCACACTACCACATCCTGTCCTGCGCCAGCCAGCCTCACGATTGTTGCTGTGTTTCGGTCTGTTGTAGCCCCTATATCGGTCCATCTCCTTGAAGGGCTTTCTCTCTCTCTCTCTTTTTTTTTTGCTGGCCCTCTCCCAAGCATGATGTCCTTTGGCAGGGACTGGTCATTCATAGCATGTCCAAAACCGGTGAGAGGAAGTCTCATCATACTGAATACTAAGGAGCATTCTAGCTGTGCTTCTTCCAAGGCAGGTTTGTCTGTTCTTCTTGCAGTCCATGGTGCTTTCAGTGTTGTTTGCCGGCATCATCATTCAAATACTCGCATGATTCTTGAGTCTTACTTATGTATTATCCGGCTTCCTCATACATATCAGGCAATTGAAAATACCTTGGGCTAAGTCAGGCACACCTCAGTCCTCTAAATAACATCTTTGTTTTTTTAACAAACTACTGGAGTGGGCATCAAAATGTTTATCTCAAAGGGGTGGGATTTATTTGTGGTAGGGGGTGGTGGTGGTGTTTGTTACTTAGATTTTTTTCTCCCCTTTAATACTTTTCTGTAATTTGCATATGTTTTCAATTCTTTACAATTAGAAGATATATTAAGGTTCTTTTTGTTTTTTTTAAGAAGAAACTCTGACATTGAAATTCAGAAACATAGAGGAAGGGATTGTTTATATATCATTCTAAACATGTTATAAGATTTGCTTTTCACTTGGGTGAGCTTTCCACATCATACTCATAGGCATATCTCAATTTCTTTAACCCTTAACATATACCATAACGTTTTTTTTTAGATCATTTTATTGGGGTTCTTACAACTCTTGTTACATCAATTCTGTCTGACATATTAGTACATATATTCCATTGTACTTTCTTAGACATTTAATTTCCATTGAGCCCTTGGGATCAGCTCCTCTTTTTTTCCCCTCCCTCCCCCCACCCTCGTGGGCCCTTGATTGATTATAGATTGTTAATTATTTTTCAGATCTCACACCGACGCTATCTCCCTTCCCCTCTGGTTTCTGCATATACCATGACTTTCTCATCCTTTATTTATCCAATCTCTTAATGGGCATGTAAATTATTCTTAATTTTTACCTGTTATAAACAGTGCTGCAGTTACATGTCTTCTTGCATGCTGCACATATTGCTATAGGCTAGATAGAGGAAGACATTTTCCTTACACAACCATGCTTCAAGCTGAAGTTCCATTCTTCTAAAGACTTTTCCATTTGCCTTGGAAATAGCTTTGGGAGTGTTCTTGTCTGTCATGGCTACTCCCTAGGAGATCTATGTAACTGAAATTTACCGTTTGGGGTGTTTTGAAACTCCTGTCTTTAATGGAGCATCTGTGGCACTTCCGTTTTTTCCATTTGGTTTCATAGTTAACCGAGGTTTCACACGAGTCAGAAAAAAAGCCATCTATAATGTGATGAGTAGCTATTGATGCCTGGCCCCTGCCTTCACACAACCATGCATGCTGTGCCTCCCGGAGAGCCAGCATCTTCTCAGGTTATTCATGTGATCTCAGTGGGACCCAGGTATATGATTCACAGTCAGCAGAAGCTGTCACCTTAGGATTGGGGCCCTCAAGCGCAAAGCAGGTGCCGATGATTGGGTGAGGGATTCTATTGCCTTGTCCGCTTCAGATCCTGTCGTCGCCTCGCTGGCTCAGGACATCTTCAAGGAGTTGTCGCAGACTGAAGCCTGTCAGGGCCCCATGCAGATGAGGCTGATTCCCACACTGGTCAGCATCATGCAGGCCCCCGCAGACAAGATCCCTGCGGGGCTCTGTGCGGTGAGTGGCTCCAAGGACTCCAACGTTCATGGAGCGGTTTTTCTGATTCTGGGTGATTCTCTGAGACTAAGAAAATCACTGCGCTTAGGCCAGAGCTGTCCTCGGTGAATTGTGCCTGGTTACCTTACCACCATGTAACATGTCCCCTGGCCACCCGATCTTGGTGTGCCCCTCACCTCATGGCTATTCCTGGCCTTCTCTTGCAGCAGCTCACCTTTCATTAGTCAGCTTTCTGTGAGCGTGTACCTAGTAAGGATCTAGTTTGGCCACTCCCCTGTGCTGACCCTTTCTTTGCTCCCCCAGACAGCCATTGATATCCTGACGACAGTGGTGCGGAATACCAAGCCGCCCCTTTCCCAGCTCCTCATCTGCCAGGCGTTCCCTGCCGTGGCACAGTGCACTCTTCACACAGATGACAACGCCACCATGCAGGTACCTGAGCTGCGGTGACCCCCAGGAGGGAAGCCTGCTCCCCTGCCCATTAGTCTGAGAAAGAAGCCTGATGGGGCTCCGTCCGAGCATAGTTACCCCAAGTGCCCAGAAGGGGCTAGACGGCGGGAGCCAGACACCTTGCTCAGCTGCATGTGCTTTTAAAGCAGAGTCAGTCATTCCAGACTGTTCCTCCAATTAGTACAACGCACAGAGTGAGGTGTCTGGGAAAGGGGGGAGGGGGGCGAGTTGGCTATTTTTCAGGTCTTTGTTACTGTATATACTTGAGTATAAGCTGAGTTTTTCGGAACATTTTTAATGCCGTTTTTGTGGTAAAATTAGGTACCTCAGCTGATACCCGGGTCGGCTTATACTCGAGTATATACGGTACTCTGCTTGGCTATCTAGAGATTGGCATGTTGCTAGTGGCAGTCAGTCAGCTGGGCAGTCTCGAGGTACAGGCCCTTAGTGTACACCGTCTCTGTCTTTATCCCATGAAGGATAAAGGTCACTCTCAGAATGTCAAAGAGTCCTTTGAGATGAGGAGTGTGCATTCTGAGGTCACTAGGAAAGGGGTGCCATATTCACAATATATGTATGGACAATGAACTCTTGGCCTTAGTGGCATGAGCCTCCTACAGGTCCTGGGGGCTCACTATTCTTGTTAGTTGTAGATCTGCAAGGATAGCATTTGCCCTTACAGACTAGCGGTGGGGTGGGGGCGAGTCTCTCGGCATCCATCTCCAGTTATTGATCCTGCTTCCCCGGCCACTCCCGCTTGTGTCCCCAGAATGGTGGAGAGTGCCTACGGGCCTATGTGTCAGTGACTCTGGAGCAGGTAGCCCAGTGGCACGACGAGCAGGGCCACAGTGGGCTGTGGTACGTGATGCAAGTGGTGAGCCAGCTCCTGGACCCCCGCACCTCCGAGTTCACTGCGGCTTTTGTGGGCCGCCTGGTCTCCACCCTTATCTCCAAGGCCGGGCGAGAGCTGGGGGACAACCTGGACCAAATCCTTCGTGCCATCCTCAGTAAGATGCAGCAGGCAGAGACGCTCAGTGTCATGCAGGTAAGCCATTCCTGGAAGCCAGGTTTTCCCTCCCTCTGGGTGACAGAGGTTACAGGAAGTCAGCATATTAATCCAGAGTGATTGTTCCCCTCTTACTGTTTTGGTCACAGTGAAGTCCGGTGGGATCGGCTCTGGCCCAGGAGGCATTGACAAGGAAATCTCTGGGTGCCCTGCCCTGGGTGTGGCCCGTCAGAGCACAGGGTGTTAGCAAAGTGACTGGCCCTACTCCCTCAGGTCCCTGCATCTGGGAAATGGGTTGGCTTCCTGAAGCACACGTCCTCTGTGTTCTCTCCTAGTCTCTGATCATGGTGTTTGCTCACCTGGTGCACACTCAGCTGGAGCCGCTCCTAGAGTTCCTGTGCAGCCTCCCGGGACCTACTGGCAAGCCTGCCCTGGAGTTTGTGATGGCTGAGTGGACCAGCCGACAGCATCTCTTCTACGGACAGTATGAAGGCAAAGTCAGGTAGGGCTTCAGCTTTCTCTGGCGTCCTGGCGTTACTTAGCTGACTTTGTTTTTTCCTTTTCCTTTCCTCTTGCTCCCATTTTTTTGTTGCCATATCAAGCTGCCACTGCGTTCTCTTTCTCAGTCTCTGTCTCTCTCTCTTGTTTGCGTGTCTATTTGAATAGCTGCCATTTGGAAATCCCCAATAGACCATATATTATTTCTAAATCTCTGCCGACCGCAGACTCTCCCTCTATACACTTCACCCAGCCAGGCCCTGCTCATAGCTTCTTCCCTTTATTAAACGCAGGCGTCCTTTCGCTCCTGAACTTTTACCTTGCTGGTTCTTATCACCCAGGGCACCTCCGAGGACAGCCGCTGAGCGTTTACCTAGTCTAGCTTTGGTCAGGAACACAGTTCTAAGTTTCCCATCCCCATTGACAAAACTTGACTCCCTCCCTTCCTTCCTGGCGGGAAAACTGATCTCCACATTATATAACTTGAGCAATGTAACTGCTATCACTAAATGTTCTGCCAGGGGGAGAATGGCAAAATAACCAATAGAGAGCTGAGTGGAATTTCACAACAGCAGCCTGGAGAAAAGAGAAAACGTGCATTTGGTGATACTGCTTAGGTATAACCAAATGCCTCATGGGATTAGATTCCTTGGTTTAAAGGTGTAGGTTAAGTCTTCATGGGCCTATCCAGGCCATTTGCCTAAGGTTTTAGAGCTTCTCCTGTACCTTCTAGTTTGATGAGTGTGTCTGGGGGGGTTAAAGGCTTGTGAGTAGCCACCTAAGATTTAGCTACCCAGCAGTCACCTGGAGCAGTAGAACAAGGACACCCAGGGGTCGTGGGTGGAACTGGGCTGCAAGTCTGATGCCTGCCTCTTCTGCCACAAGACCAGAAAAGCTGGGTGGTGCCAGCAACCACTACTGAGCATTCTGATTAGGGACCCAATAGGTGGATTCTGATGAAAAGGCAGAAAAGTTTGGAAATCAGACTGACTTTGGTCCTTAAAGAAGGGAGGAGCCCCAGGACATTGTCCTGAAATCGTCTTTCAACCTTGAGTGGGAACAGCCTATAGTCACCTTTAAATGGCTGTTTGGCTCAATTAACCTTGGACTTGAATGGTTTCACTCTTTTGAAGAATTATCTCGCAGAGACCAGATTGAAAAATGTACCCGTAATGCACAGCTGAGAGCCCTAAGGGAGAGGGAAGACGGTTAATGGTGCTTAGAGAATTGAGCTCCTTTAAAAAAAAAAGACATACACATCCAAGGGTGAAAAACAACATAAACATGGTGAAGGGAGACAGGGGATGGTGTAAAGTATGAAAATAATAATAGTTTATAATTGATCGGGGATTCATAATGGTGGTGAGGGGGAGGGGAAAAAGAGAAGCTGATACCAAGGGCTCAAGTAGAAAGGAAATGTTTTGAAAATGATGATGGCAACATATATACAAATGTGCTTGATACATTTGGTGTATGGATTGTTACAAGAGCTTAAGTGCCCAAAAAAAGTGCACGGGGGTGGGGGGTGGTGTTGGGTTAAAACTAAAAAAGAGCTGTAAGTGCCTTCAATAAAATAATTTATTTTTAAAAAAAAGACCTATTAGCGCATGGGTTTGGATTTATGGCAGGCCCAGCCCCATGGGCCTCTCACTGTGTCTCATGCATGCCAGAGCACACTGTAGCCCTGGACCATTTCCGTGCCTCCTAGCCCATAGGCTTCTGGCACTGAAGCAGGTTGCACAGTGTAGGGGGGGGTCTGGCCTGGCGGAGACCTATTAGACCATCCTTGTGAACACTAGTCTCACTTTCGGTTAACCTCGCTTAGTCAGCTGAGAACAGTGTGGTTACCATCAAAGAGCAGAGGGTCTCGGACACAGTGCTTCCTCCCTTGGCGTGACGCCACGTGGTGTCTGATGGGCTTTTCTGTCCCCCTGACCAGTTCCGTGGCACTGTGTAAGCTGCTCCAGCACGGCATCAACGCAGACGACAAGCGGCTGCAGGACATCCGAGTGAAGGGCGAGGAGATCTACAACATGGACGAGGGCATCCGCACCCGCTCCAAGTCGGCCAAAAGTGGGTGCTGTTGCCTTCCCTCCAGGCGTCTCTGGGGGGGTAAAGGCACCTCGGGTGGAAGGCAGGGGTGCACCAGCATTTTAAACAGCGTTGTTAGTGGTGGGCTTGACGAAGCAGTCACAGCTGTAAGTGAACAATGGGTCAGAATACAGTTCTCTCCTGGTGCTGAAGCACGGCTCCCTAGCTTCCAGCTGCATTCTGGAGCGTGCCGCGCCTTTCAGCATGTCTGTTACTGGCTTTCCTTGGTCTGTGACTCCAGTCATTTACAGATAGTGCAGAGCTTCTCCCTCGTAACTGGGTTCATCATTACCAAGAGAGATCTATCGTGTTCCATATAGCTACGCGATTTCAGAGCTTTCTCACTGGTAAAAACTCACCATTAATTCCTGAGCTCCCTTCTCTGTCCTCACTTCTCAGCTTCCAGAGTGCCAGATGAAGTTACTCAGCTTTAACACATTCTTTGGTGGCCAGTGTCCCAGGGAGGCTGGGGGGTCTGAGGGGCGGTACACAGTGGTAGCTGAGTGACAACTCTTGAGGGGTGGGGCTGGGGGCACTATCAAACATGAGCCCACTTGCCAGCTGACTTGAAGCTTTTCCTCTCCTTACAGACCCTGAGCGCTGGACAAATATTCCTTTGCTGGTCAAAATCCTCAAGCTGATCATCAACGAGCTCTCGAACGTCATGGAGGCCAACGCAGCTCGCCAGGCTACTCCTGCAGAGTGGAATCAGGGTACACCCAGGCCCTTCTTCTCAGGCCCCTCCAACTGGCAGATCAAGTTGCAAGGTTTCAAGTCACCAGTTGGCACGAGCGGAAATAGGAAGCACCTCTTCTGCCTCCTGAGGCCTCCCTCACAGAGCCTGAGCTAGAGGGCATCCCGGAGAGGGACACTCTCCCTCTCTCGGTCTGGTCCATGCCAAGAGCTTCTCAGCCATTTTATCTCCTGTGACCGTCCCAGAACCCTCTGGACCTCCATTCAAACCTCCTGAGAGGTGTGGGCCATTGCTAGTTCTCCCCTGGGGCGGTGCAGGCTGAAGGACAGGAACCCTGGGGCCCCTTCTCTTCTAGCATGTTTGGCTGTAGAGAGGGAAGATGGTGAGTATACTTCCACGGCTTTTCCTTCCCAAGTAGAAGACTCCAATGATATGTGGGAGGATCAGGAGGAGGAGGATGACGACGAAGAGGAAGACGGCTTAGCTGGCCAGCTCTTATCCGACATTCTTGCAACAAGTAAATACGGTAAGCAATTTGAAAGGTGGACACTTGGGGGAAATACCTGTTCTCTGCACACTGGTGCCAAGATTGGGGTGCCGGAGAAAGGGGAGGGACCAGGCCTATAAGCTGCATCCCCTGAGCTCCTGACCCCTCCTTTATGTTGGCTGTGTCTAAAACAGAGGAGGATTACTACGAGGATGATGAGGAAGATGACCCTGATGCCCTGAAGGATCCTCTCTATCAGATTGATCTGCAGGTGAGGGTGTTCAGAGAAGATGTCTTCCAAGTGACGAATGTCTCAAGCCATAGCAGCAGGGGTAGAGAGTGTCATGGGATCAAATGCATTCATTGTTCATCCTAGTAACCTCGGGAGCATTCCTACCTCACTAGTGGTCAGGGGTTGTGGGTGGGCTGGAGGCTCAGTCCAGTGTCGAAACCAGCTTTGAAAGGAGCTTATGGTGTAGAAGTCCTTGGGGGAGAAGCTGTCATACCACCTTGGAACCTCTTATCTCGTTCCCTGTGGAATGTAATCCTTGGGGTATATGTCAACTAGCTCCAGATGGAGAAAACGGTCCGCTCAGGGAGCCTATCCCACCAAGTGGCAGACAAGCCTGGGCGCCCACAATACCGCCGCTCTCCCTCCCTTGCTCCAGGCCTATCTCACGGACTTCCTCTGCCAGTTTGCACAGCAGCCCTGCTACATCATGTTCTCAGGACACCTGAATGACAGCGAGAGGCGGGTTCTGCAGACCATCGGCATCTAAACTCGGAGCCTTTGTGCATTTGCTCGTCCTGCTGGCCCAGCCAGAACCATCTGCAGCCCTCACCGGCCTGGAGGTGCGCCATCTCTCAACCTAGAGGGGCTTCCTGACCACGGGCCCTTGGCCGCACCAGGCTGACCCAGACGACAACTCAGACTGAGCCCACCAGCCCAGCAAAGGCCTCCCCAAAGACATCCCATCAGAACCGTTTTCCTCCCCAGCGCTGCCCCACCTGTCTTCCCCAGTCGTCTGCTGGCGAGGCCAGAAGCGTCAGGAGCACGGGGAGCAAGCGCTGGTGACACAGGTTGAGGAGCTCAGCCACCACCCAAAGGTGGGCAGCACCAACCCGACAGCCCCTCCACGGGAGGGAGGGAGGGAGACGCGGCAGTCTGTGTCCGTGACGATCGCGGCATTGGAAACTGAGGCAGTTCCACTCTGCCCTGCAGGCCTGTGAGTCGATCTGCTCTGTGGCAGTGGCGGTCAGGAGCACAGAAAGTCGTGGCCCTTTTAATTATAAAACAGACCTTTCTACTTTCTTAGGGCACGTGACGTGCTCCGTCTGATAGGATTCCCTGGAGAGACAGTTCATGCTTTGTACCCCTGACCACTGATGCTCTGGGTTCACAGTAAGGACAAGTGGGAACAGCTACACCCTAAACCCTCCGCTCTGATCCTCCTCCCTGGCCCATCGCACAACACTACACAGCTCTCCTGTCAGAGGAAGTAGTCTTGTCTTCAACCTCATCGCATGCTATAGGCCAACTCCTCCCCCAAGCTGTTCTTAAGTAGACTGCACACACATCACACCAGACAGGTGGCCATTGGTTTTTCTGTTTTAGAAAAGGGGGGGAGGGGACCAAAAAGGTTGGAAAAAAGTCTAACTCCACCCAACTATATTTAATATACCTCTCACATATTACCACACAATCTGATCATTCAAAAGTTACTTCCCCCTCCCTCAGGAATCCTCGAAAGTGGTTCAGTTGTAGCCCTTGAATTTGGAACTTGTATTTTTCTAGGACAGTAAAGTAACCTTTACAAATGAATTCCGTCCCTACAGTGTAAGGTGTCTCAGGCACCTGTGCCTTCGGTGCTCTTCAAGAAAACAACAATGGGGGCGGGGGGGATGGCTAGTGAGACTCTACCACGTGTTGTCTAACTGCACTCACGTGACACGTGACGCGTCAAGGCCTGTCCTTGCCCTTATTCCAGCCATGCTTCCATGATAGCTCCCTCAGCTGAGAAGGTCCATCTTGTGGGTTTGGAGTGAATGAAGACCTTTAAGGAAAGGACCCCAGCTTCCCCCTCTGTAGTCCCCACAGCTGGCTCCCACTGTAGACCCACAGATTTCTTGAGGTTTACAGTCTCACAGAAGGAACTTGGGGAAAATGAAGATGTCGTCTGAGAAGGTTCCCTGTTAGGATATCGAAGCAGTGTTAGGGACCGGCGTTGTATGCCTATGGGTAGTTTTAGAACATAACTTGGCGCCACTAGGTGTCCCTGGTGTTCAGCCCCCAAGCCAAAGTGGGAGGTGTATTGTCCCATGACCTTGCACCGCCTGTGAAAGTGTGTGCTCAGCACAGAGTGTGCCTGTATAAGGGGAGTGACAGCAGGCCTGGAAGAATGTCCCTCAGGCATCAACCTTGGGGACCTCGAGGCAGTACCATTTGGGTGGATTGCTAGCTAGAGTATCGGGCTGGTTCACGAGGTGGAGTAGCCTCTGATGGTGGCAGAAAAGTTATCCTGTGCCAGCAGCATTGGCGTACCAGCATGGGGAGGGTTAAGGCCCTCAGGCAGATTAATGATGTGGGCCTCTTGTGGACCTGCTAGTTAGAAAAATAGCCCATCTCATGCCAAAATGGTTCTCAGCCCCCTGGCAGAGATCCTTTCCGTTTTCCTTGGCATGATTTTTTGACGGAGCCCTGAAGGCGAGGGCTCCAGTGTCACTCAGGTTAAAGGGTGGCAGCCCTCCCCCCAAAGACTCCCACGGTGGATGAAAGTGGAGGGTCTTGGGTCCCTTACCTCACTGTGGCAGGCAATCCTGTTTCCAGGTCACACACCTTTGTAACAGGAATGCAGAGCAGATAGTGTCCAAACGAGGAAAAGAGTTCAGTGTTAAAAAGTGGAGAAAAATCAGTGGCTTGAGGCCAGGGGTGTTGACGGAAAGTTGAGCCATTTTGTGTCGGCAGGGCTAACTGATGAAAGGCCTTTGGGACACCGCTTTGCTCTGACACATGGGGTCTCCGTGGGTCAGAATCTCAACAGCTTCGTGCATGTGTGTGTGTGGTGGGGGGGGGCTGTTAGAAGGAGTTGGCATTTGAGACAAGGGAGGCAGGAATAACAGCACTCACTCTGAGATGCTCGTCTCGCCCTGGTGGATGGCAGGCAGCTGGGGACACGGAGAGGATGTCCCCCAGGAATTTGCTGATCTTAGAGACTGAAGGGAACAGAAACCAGAAGATGGACACAGAAATCCACAGACGGAGCTATAAGTCACAAACCTACAATTGGCATAGACTGGGAAGTGGGAGTCCACAGCAAGCAGATCATTCCAAGCAAGAAGGGTTTTGAAAAGGGTGATGGGTCACTGGAATTCATAGATGTCCATCTTGCACACAGGGACAAATGAGACCAAACTTGCTTCATAGTCTCTAGTTTTGTTACTAACAAGTCACAGACTGAGGAAATGCTCTGGACATCATAGCGCTACAGGAATGGGTAGCTGGCCTGGGAGCTTCTGTTTCTATGTTGGTAGCCTCATGAGGCTGGGAGCCACAAGTTTTAAAGTGCACAATCAGCTGCTCCCAGGGGGAAGGATAACTGCCACAGAGTTAACCACAGGCCAGGTCTGCCCGCCCCACAAGGAGCTGTAAGTCTGTCTGCTCACCGTGGCAGTGAGTATGGTTTGGGTTTGCCCTGGGACTGGTACAGCCCATTGTTGGGGGTGATTGCTGGCAATGTGCCCCGGGCTCTGTTCTTGGGTCTCTCCTTTGATATTAATGACAGATGAGGTCTTTAATGCTCCACTTGATCCAAAAAGAATGTACGTGTTTACAAAAGAAATACTTGGTAAGGGAGGAATTCTGGTTGAATTGTTAAATAACAGGAGACCCCCTGGGAAGACTGATAATTCAAGATCAGACAATTCCACAAACTATAAAAACGGGCACCCTCAATATGGAGTTGCTTCCGTTGATGAAGACTACTGAGTGTGTGCCAGCAGTAAGTAGTTGTTGCACCAGGCACTCTTCCTGGCTCTCCAGAAAGCCCAGCTGGTTTGGGGCTGCGGTGGCATCACAGGGGTGTAGGGCATCAGAGGTGCACTATACCCAGCAGAAGTCCTAGGAAGTGGGGAGGTCTGGTTAGTGCTCACCTCTGAACCTTGAGAAAAATCGGTGTGGAGAGACTGAATTGTGGAGGGAAGGGAACCAGAATACACCATGTACAGGAAGCAGGACACCGCTTTGGAATAGACATTGTGCCATAAAAGGGGTTAGTGACAGCTGTCGACCTGACTCAGAGACCCCGTCTTTGTCAAAGAACTGCACTGTGGGTTTGGTTTTTACCACCTCTTTTCTGTATATTCTTATTTTCTCACTGGATCGAAGGCTGGACACTGGCATTCAGGGTGCCACCTCTTTCTCTTTGGGCTCTTGGGGAAGGCCCTTGGCTCCTCAGTCTCTTACTGAACTCCTTGGGGACCTTGTGGCTTGGGTCCCATATCCCATCTGTGTCCACTTAATTTCCTATTTTGTTCAAAATTTGACGCAGGACATACCCTATGCCAATCATGGCTTGCTAGCATAACACAACACAACCCATTCACAAATGAGATTAGCCCCCTAGGCAAAGGGGTTAGGGTCTACCACACGTTTTAGGAGACAGTTTAATCCGTGACATGAACGCAGACCAGGGAAAACACTGAAAGAAGCAGACCAAACAATGGAGCGGGTTCGAGGGCGCTTACAGACCAGGAATTGTCCCCAGGGTTCGCGATGCCTGGTTTGGGTTCGGGAGTGGATCACTGGCCTTTCTCCAAGGTACTTGGGCTGGGCTTGCAACTCTGGTCAGCAGCTGAGCGTATTCTGCCATGGGCACCCCCAGACACTCCAGCTGGGAGAACAGTGAGAAGAAGGGCCACACTGAGGAGGTGACCCTTGAAATAGCAGATTAAAGAGCACATAGTGAATGCCAGTGACTCCCCAAAACTTAAGTCAACTCATTTAGACCACCAAGTAGCCCTCAAAAGTGATTCTGTATGTGCACGGAGCTATTCCCTACCACCTGTCATGGTAGGCGCCTTCCAGTCACATGAGCCGGCACTGTTGACACCATGTCCCTGTTTTGCCTCCCCTATTTCTAGCAGGGTGGAGCCCTGGTGGTGGTGTGATTATGCAGTGGCCTGCTAATAGAGAGGCTAGCGGTTCAAAAAACACATGCTCTTCAGGAGAAAGACTAGGCTTTCTACTCCCATAAGGAGTAGAAACCCACAGGGCCAGTTCTCTGTTCTACAGGGTCGCCATGCGTCAGAATTGCTGGCGGTGCGTTTGATTTGAGTTTTATTTCTAGCAGGAGAAAGAAGAGACTCTGTTCCTTTATTCTTTCACTCACGGCCATCGGTCCGTCCCAACTCCCGACCCTGTGGGCTGCCAAGACCAACGCTGTAGAGGGGTAGGAAGTCTCCTCTGTCTCCCCCTTTGATCCATGGGAACCCTTTGTAGGGTCACTATGAGTCGGACTAGACTAGATGGGGATGAGTTTGGTTTGGAGTTCGAATTTCCTGTCTAGACAGATGCGGGTGGGCTAGGACTTTGCCGTGGAGAAGACAAAAAAGCAGGAGAGCTCCTTGGGAGACCACTCAATTTTTAAACATGTATGTGACATGGTCAGGTTGATGAAGCCTGGCAGCAGTTCCGGGGGGCAACAGGAGAGGGGACTTGGTGACTGAGAGGGATTGGCCTCATTTCTCTCCCTAAATGGGAGCACCCAAGCAGAGAGGAGGCATTGCAATCATTGGAGTCCTATCGTGGGGAGGCCCTCTTCCTACAGGTCTTGGAGCCATGACTGGATCGAGGTCCCAGTAGCAAAGCAGCCAAAGGCCATCTGTTACTAAAACGCCGATATGTGTGCTCCGTTGCTCCGTCTGGAGGGCGGTGCAGGCTAACTTCAGTCATCTTCACAAGGACCCTCGCATGCCAGTGCTCGACGAGGAGGATCGGGCTGCCGTTGGGGTCCTAACATTGCAGACCACGCTAGGTTGTTTGGACTTCTAGCATATGTCCTGCAGGAAGAACGAAGAGCCGCTGTCCTGACCAGAGGCCCAGACAAGCTGGAAAGCGGGAAGCCAGCACAGGAGGCTTGTCCTCGCCACGCCCGGTTTCCTCATCCGGAAAATGAGAATTAATACCTCACAGGCTTATAGATAAGAAGCGAGGAGGACTTATTTAAAGCGCCTCAAATGGTGAACAGTGTGCCTCCACTCCACCCCCACAGCTGGGAGCTAAGTTTGGCTCCCTCTCCTTGACTCACTGGATTACACAGTTTCACAGATGCAGCTGCTAAATTAGGGGCTTGGTGAGCCCTTGGGAGGACAGCTCTGCGGACGCGCTGCGGTTCTGCCGTGGGGAGCAGAGGATCGAGGCAAACAGTGGCCAGTGCTCCACCTGATGGGTCTCTGCGTTTTCTCTGTGGGACATTATGAATTATTGATGTGTTCATTTGCTTTCCTTAGATTGGTTTTCCCCCTCCAAGAACAGACCCAAATTCTTTGGATTTCCTTGCCTTCCCTTCCTCAGGGTAGAAAGCAAGACTGCCTCAGGGCAGCTGGGCTTTTGGTTGCTGCAGGGAAAGCTTGGATGAACTGAGATCCTGCCTGGGGTTCTGGGGAAGTTGAAAGGGGGCTCAACTAGTAGGGAGCAGAATTGTACAAGGCCTGCAGTGATGCGGACAACCCCCCACAGCCTGGAAGAGGCTGTGAGGGCAATGACAACGTGGAGTCCAGGCTGGGCGTGGGGGGCTGGGCCTGCACACCGAGGTACCCTGCGAAAGGCTTGATCAGTGGGGCCCAGGTAGGCAGAGGCCTGGAGTGCCCACCCCAGTGCATTTCAATCCCAGAAACTCCTTGATCCTGGAAGGGGAAGCAAACTATAACAACGGGCTAGATTCCCCACCAGCTGACATAGAGGCCTGTGTCCGACTCCGTTTGTAAGAAACGTAGCATTTCTTCCACTCCTGGTTTTGTGTGTAGGCCTGATGCCATACCTCCTCAGCTGCCAGGGAACTGCCTTTCCAATTCAGTGATATGTGGTAACTCCTGAGCCAGAGCACGGTGGGGGGCGGGGCTCCCCCAGGCAGGCCCCCCCCAGGCACTGCCTGTGGCCTGTTCCACCCTGACCACCTTGTCCCATTAGATAGGGAGAGACAGCCAGGGGCCTCTGTCAGTTCTGATGAGGGATCCCTGTGGATCGGAGTTTTCCCAAACCATGATCCACTTCATGTCGAGAGCTCAAAGACCACACAGATTTGGTTTCTCCCAAGTTTGCCAAGCCAGTAAGGGGCAGGATAGGATTTGTGTCTATATAGCATATATACTCGAGTATAAGCCAACCCGAATATCAGCCAAGGCCCCAAATTTTACCTCAAAAACTGCATTAAAAATGTGCTTTTACATGAATTTGTATGGTAATAGTTAAAAGTGTGAACTCAAGAGCCAGACTGCCTGGGTTTGACCCTCAGCACTGCCAGTTTCCAGCTGGCTAGTCTTGAGCAAATGCTCTGGGTTTTCTAGGCCCCGTTTTCTAATCCACGCAGCAGGTAACACTAGGATCTGTTTCGTGAAGTGGTTATGAGGATTAAGTAAGTCAGTACAACAAAGCACATCACAGTGCCTTCTGTCAAGTAATCAGTGACGTAGTATTCAGCTAATCTCCATCTAATGTAGTTCTTACCAACTAAACCTACCCTTGGAACGCTGGTCTCTCTGCAAGAAAGACCCTGGGTCTCTCCAGCCCCCAGCTATGCAGATGGTTGACAAGACTAGTGTGGGACGCACCTCGGGGAACAAGACCAGCTGGGGGCCACGGTTTCCAAAGCAGGCCAGAGAGGGAGAGGTAGTGGTGCCTAGACGAGCTGTAAACAGCCTTCCTGCTCCCTTACCCTCAAGGCCCAAAATAACACTTGTCCGCCCGGCTGGCAGAGCTGCAGACTGAGCAAGGTGCCATTTAAAGATAACCTGGCCCTCCCCTGCCTGCCCCACTGGCTGGGCTGGACTCTGGCAGCCAGTGGCTTCCATGGCGCCCACAGCCCTCAGTGTTCTGAGTAGAAGGCTGCTCTCAGATGTCAGCCTGGCTACCCTGGGCTGCTGGCCGCTGAGACTGCCCTGAGCACTCTGCACACTAGAAGCCTGGTATTCCTAGAGCTAAACAATCCTATAAAGATGTGCCCAGAAATCCCTGTGGGGAAGCAGGCTCCTTGAATCTTGTGTCTGAGCCCCAGTGTCCCTGACCCTCCTCCTCAGATCTCTCAGAGTTACAAACAGACCTACATTTACAACAAAATGACAGCGAGCCCCAGAACACCTTTCTGATTTAGGGGAGAGGTGGTTTACCCTGGGACACAGCACCCAGGTTCCTTCAATCCCCAACATGATCAAGTTCTTAGAGCTCTGGGCCATGCCACCCCTGCTGTGGCATGCCAGGAGGAACCTCACTATCCACAGCTCCCTAGCCAAGGGGTGATGAGATTGATTACCTCTGACCATGAGGGAGGGAATGTGTATTACCTGTTTGCAGGAGCCAGACAGGGAAAGCAGAGGGCTGCCCAGAAGGCTTTCCTGTGTGACGCTCCTCCCATATCTTGGAATAGCTTGACTCACACCACAAGGTGAGTTGGGTGCAACTGGAGAAGGAGAGGGGCCAGAGTCTCAGGGATCAGGCTCCAAGGCCCAGGCTTGGGAAGGTCAGAGAGGGCCTCAGGAAAGCCCAGACCCTGCTGTCTCCAATGCACCTGCACACTGAGGTGTCTTAACAGTGCCCTCCTCCCACAGCCCTGGTCCCATCCCCCCCTTTGGGTCAGCTTCCACTGGAGTTACCCTTAGCTTTCCTCCAGGTGCAGACGCCTGCTACGATAAGGGCAGGGTGGGACGCTACCCTGAGGACATGCACCTTGTGCCAGGTACAGCACTAGGCCTGGTGGAGCAGCAGAACCTGGGCCTTGATAACAAGACCCAATTTCGAATCCCTGCTGTGTGCACCTCAGTCTCCAAACTAGGACAACTCCTGGTACTGTTAGGAAGGCTATGTGACATCGCAAAGATAATGCCCCAATAGAGTGCTTGGGTCACCTTTAAGGGTCAGAGTGACAGTTTTCACAAATGGTCCTCATTCATATTAGAGGGAGGGCTCTACCACTTGCCAGCCTTGCTGTTTGCTGTTAGGTGCCACCTAGTTGGTTCCAACTCAGTACAACGGGTACAACGGAACAAAGCACTGCCTGATTCTGCGCTGCCCTCTGGGTCCTTCTTGTGCCCGTGCCCATCGTAGGTACCGTGTCAGTCCATCTCCCTAAGGGCCGCCCTCTTTTTCACTGCCCCCTCCTTTCCCAAGCACAATGCCCTTCTCCAGGACTGATCTCTTGACAACATGTCCCAAGTGTGTAAGACGAGGTCTCACCATCTTTGCCTTTTAAGAAGTATTCTGGCTCTACTGCTTTCCAGACAGACTTGTTTGTTCTTTTGGAAGCCCATGGTACTTTCAGTATTCTTTGCCAGACCATAATTCAAACATCAGTTCTTCTTTGGTCTCCAACTTTCACATGCAGACAAAGCAATTGAAAATACCATGGTTGGGCCAGGCACACCTTAGTCCTCAGAGTAACATTTTTGCCTTTCAACATGCAATGCATCCTTTGATCGCGTGACTGCTGCTTCCATGAGTACTGACAGTGGGTCCAAGCCGGACGAAATCCTTAACAACTTCAATCTTTTCTCCATTTATCATGGTGCTATCTTTTGGTCTAGTTGTGAGGATTTTGGTCTTTTTTTTAAACACTGAGTCATAATCCATACTGAAGGTTACAGTCCCTGATCATCAGCAAGAGCTTTAAGTTCTCACTTTCAGCAAGCAAGGTTGTGTCAGCTGCATATCACAGGTGTTTAATAAGCCTTTCTCTAGTCCTGATGCCACGTTCTTCATATAATGCAGCTTCTGATGATTTGCTCGGCATACAAATGGAATAAATATGATGAAAGGATACGACCACGAAGCACGCCTTTCCCAATTTTAAGCCCTGCGTATGACCTTGTTCTGTTGGCTCAACTGCCTCTTGATCTATGTAGTTTCCACATGACACCATCGGGTGCCCTGGAATTCTTCTCTGGCCTATGCATAGTTTATTCTCCATGCAGTTTGGATACTTTTGCATAATCAATAAAACACAAACATGTTTCTGGTGGTATTCTTTGCTTTCAGCCAAGATTCATCAGACATCAGCAATGATGTTCCGTGTTCTGTGTCCTCCTGAATCTGACCTGGGCCCCGGAAAGCTGTCGGTGCACTGCTGCAGCCGTTGCTGGATGATCATCAGCAACATTTTACTTGAATGTGATATTAAAGATAGTCTTCTCTAATCATTCTGTCGGATCACCTTTTTTTGGAATGGGTACAAACCTGGATCTCATCCAGTCAGTGGGCCAAGTTGCTGTCTTCCAGATGTGTTGGCATCGACGAGTGAGTGCTTCACCAGCTTGTTGAAGCATTTCGATTGGCAGTCTCTCAATTCCTGGAGCCTTGTTCTTGACTAGTGCTTTCAGTGCAGCTTGGACATCTTTCAGTATCATTGGTTCTTGCTTATATGCTACCTTCTGAAGTGGTGGAATGTCAACTAGCTCTTTTGGTAAAGTGACTCCGTGTATTCTTTCCAACTTCTTTTGATGCTTCCTGCATCATTCAGTATTTTTCCCATTGTAGCTTTCAGTATTGCTACTCAAGGCATGACTTTTTCTGTAGTTCTTTCAGTTTAAGGCATGTTGAGCATGATCTAACTCTAGGTCTCTGCCCATTTCATCATATTTTATTTTGTCTTCTCAAACTGCCCTTTGAAATGTTCTGTTCGGCTCCTTGACTTCATCCTTTTTGCTTTAGCTACTCTACAATTAAGAGCAGTTGTCAGTCTTTTCTGACATCCACCTCGATCTTTTCTTTCTTTCCCATCTTTTTCATGACATTTTGCTCTCCTCATGAATGATACTCTCCATGCCCTCCCACAGCCTATCAGGTCTTCTCTCATCAGGGCTCCGTGCAGCACATCTGCTCGTTAGATGTTGAAATTCAGGTGGGATAGACTCAAGGTTGTATTTTGACTCTCGTGGACTTGTTTTCATTTCCTTCAGCTTACACCTGAGCTTAAATGTGAGCAATTGATCGTCTGTTCCATAGCCAGCCCTTGGCCTGTTTTAGCTGCTAATATTAAGCTGCTCCATCGTGTCTTCCCACAAACATGGTCAGTTTGATACCTGTGGGTTCCATCTGGGGAAGTCTGTGTGTATAGTCCCCTTTTGTGTTGTTGAAAAAAAGTATTTACTATGAACAAATAGTTGATTTTGCAAAATTCTATCATGGTCTCCAACTTCATTTCTAGCATCAAGGAAGACCATCTTTTCCAACTGCTGTACCTCCCTTTGGTTCCAGTCACTGATCATTGTCAGTTCATCTCGACTGCATGGTTGATCAATTTCAGGCTGAAGCTGTTGGTAGAATTCTTCAGTTCTTCAGTGCTGTAGCGGTCGGTACATCCATTTGAATAATAGTTGTATTGTTGGCTTCCCTTGAATGCAGATAGATAAAGTCCTATCACAGAGCATTGTACTTCAAGATAAATCTTTAAATGTCCTTTTTGGACAATGAATGCACCATTCATCTTAATTATGGCATTCTCAGCATAGTAAACCATATGATTATCTGATACAAAATGGCCGATACCAGTCCATTTAGCTAACATCTAGGATATCAATCTTTATGCATTCCATTTCATTTTTGACGACATCCAATTTTCCTATATTCATACTTCATACATTCCAAATTTCAATTATTAGTAGACTTTTGCTGCTATTCTCATTTTGAGTCATGCCCATCAGCAAATGAAGGTCCTAAAACAACCCATCAGACCACCAGCAACTTCCTGGGGCAGGAACTTGCCTGCTCCTTACATGGGTGAGCGAGAGCCTGCAAGGGCCCAAGATGGGTCACTTCTCCTTTGGCTGCCCTCCTCTAACATATTTAGATTTTGCTGGGTCTTCTGTGCACTGCCCTGGTTCCCTTGGTCTTGATTTCTCTCTCACACACACACATGCACACACAAAACCCACTGTCATGGAATTGATTCTGACTCATGAGGACCCAAGACAAGAGTAGAACTGCTCTTTAGGGTTCACAAGACTAAAAATCTTTGCAGGGTCTGAGTCTCATCTTTCTCCCTCAGAG